CTCTCCGGAACCCGATCCGCATGGGAACAGAAATATAGAAGCAGAGCCTGGTCTCATGACATGCCCACCATGGACATGCAGTCCAGCCTGTCCTTGAACACCCGCACCGATGGGGCCTCCACGACCTCCCGGGGAAGCCCATTCCACACCCTCGGGGTCCTGAGTGTCAGGAAGTGCTTCCTGGCATCCAAACGAAACCTTGGCTCCCTGAGCTTTGCTCCGTTGCAGCGTGTCCTGCCTTCCTCTGCAGGGGAGAACCGGTCTCTCCCCACCTCCATGTGACACCCCCTCACATACCAACAGCAGTCAACCAAGATCTTCCATGCCCTTGCACCCTGGCCATGTGGGCTGTCCCTATGGGGCTCCCACTAAACCCCAAAGCTGGTGTGTTTGGAATGGGGTGGCACCAGCTGGCAGACGTGCTCTGCTCCGAAAGCAGGTGGCAGATGCCGGAGGAGACGGAAAGGGATGGTCGTGTCCCTGGAAAGCACCCCCACCTTCCCCTCGTGTTTCCAGCCTCAAGCAAAGTGCGGGGGGGGGGGCGATTGCACATGTGCTTGAGACTGACAGTCTTTGGGCAAAAGACCCTCCTGCGGCCACAACCTGCTGGACCTCCTCAGCCCCGTTGCCTGCTTGTGGGGCTCACTGACCACGCCTGCCCCTCCGGCGGAGGCCGAGCGCTTGCTCGCTCTGCCAGTGAGGAAGCTCCCCCCTGGCCGGGTGCCAGGGTCCCCATGCGCTGCCCCAAGCTTTCGAGAGGATGTGGCTGGCTCAGTGCGGAGCAGCCGTCCCAGCCTGGGGCCCTCCAAGTGCATTGGACTTCAGCCCGTCAGCCCTTGCCGGCAGGGTCAATGGGTCTGTGGAGGGCTGGGCGCCACCCTGGAGAAGTCCACACACCTGATCACTGATCGTTCCACAGTGGCCTGCACAAACTGGGAGGACGGGAGCTTGACCACAGACCTCCAGTCGACTCCTTTGAGCATCAAGTGTGTGAAGGTTCCCGGCACCTTGGCGTTGTTTGGGTTCTGCCCCTCACCGGACATCCCAGCTGCCAGATGTACCCACAAGTAGCCAGTGGCCCTTGCAGGCAAATATCTCCCGTCCCACATCCTGGCTCTAAATAGTTGTCACACAGGAAAATAGTTCCACTGCATGAAAACTATAATGCACACGAACACACAGGCATTTCCAAGACGGACATTGCTGAATGGCAGGCACCAAACTCCGACATCAAATATTGGAACATTCAGGGCTGGCGGCAGGATCTAGTGTACCCTCACCAGGATGCTGCTGATGCCCCCCACCCTCACTTCCACGAGCACCAAGGGCCACCCACGGTAACCCAGACCAGCCGCAAACGCCACTCCACCACTGGGACTGCTCTGCCAAAACTCCCCCCACCCATTTTTTGTAATCTGGCTGGCAGCCACGGGGACTTGCCTTCCTCCTCGTCCTCATCCTCCTTCTCCAGCCAGCCTGGTCCTTGGCGGGCACTGCAGAACCCCGCCAAGCCTGGAAGCCACTGGGACAGAATCTGAAATGGCTTTCTGGAGGTAGAGGATCCGTAGCCTGGTGCAAGCACGCAGCAGGAGGATCCGGAGACCACCACAGACCCCTTAGCTTTGCTTCCCCCACTTGCTTGCTCCAGCCCCATCCGCCCGATTTCACATGAAGAGAAAAGGCAGCTCTTCCGCATCCCCCCCCCCCCCCCCCGCCGGCGCAGGCTTCCTCAGGGACTGAGCCCTCGCAGCTGCACCCGGCTGGCTGCCAGCACAAGGTGGGGGAGCGAGGGCTGGGGCTCCCGCCTGGTCGTGGCTCTGGCAGCAGCCGCAGGGAGCCGCCTGGGAGCCGCCTCTGCAAGCATTTTGCCCGGTCACGGCGCCGTTTGAGCAGCCGCCGGCTGGCCATTCCCTGGCCGGCAGAGGGGGAAGTGTCAGGCCAGGTCAGGCACAGTTCCCCAACGAAATCCAGCAGGAGCTTGGGAACAGCACCAGGCGTTGAACGCTTACATAAAGTTCTTGGACTACATTCACAGAACGCCGTCCATGGGAAAATGAACAACGTGCCATGTTTTTGAAACCACATCTGTCCTGAAATGAAGATCTCTAGGTTATTTTGGAGGCTGCATTTAGTCCATGCTCAGAGGCACTTTCGTCCTCATTCCTCTGCTGGAAAGCAGTTCTGATAGGCCTCTCACACAGACACAGGCCCACAGCAGTCTCACACGCTCTGCTTGCCATGCGCCTCCCTGTTGGCTGAATCCCAACCTGCAGCCTAAATGCAATTTTGGATAAATTCGGGCAGCTCACAGCAGCTGCTCCCACAGGAGTGGGGAACTAAGCAGAGTGGCAGGCTCCCGGGGGGGGGGGGGGGGGGGGGGGGGGGGCGGGGGGGGGGGGGGGGGGGGGGGGGGCGGGCCGGGCTTCACAGCCCCCCCCCCCCCCCGAAAGAAGGGCTCCGAAGAGAGTTTTGGGTGAGGACTGTCAGAAAGGGCCCGGCACTTCAGTGCTTCGTGCATGCTCAGAGGCTGAGCGGAACAATAAGGACTTGTTGTCAAGCAGCACTGGGGAGACCGGCGTTGCCCGAGGGGGAAGCAGGGCTCGCGGCGTCTCCCCCTCGCTCTGGCTGCACCGGAAGTGGAACTGCTCAGGCTCCGCTTTGCCCTCTGGGAAGAGAACGGCCGTGGCCCCAGGCAGCACCGCTGAGAAGGGGGCCGAGCAGGCCAAAGGTCCCAGGGGCCCCCAAAGGGGCCCCCACCACCTGGCAGCACAGGGCCCGGGGCACAGAGGCAGCTGTGTGGCGGGGCAGCAGGCTGAGTGGCGCCCCCCACGGGGCATCTGCTGCCCCTGTTGCTGTGGGGTGCTTGCGAGAACATCGCTGCCTGGCAGCCAGAGAAACTTGGCGGTGGGTGTTTTGTTTAAGGAACCACTTAAAAATGCCTGGCCTTGGAAGTTTAACTAGAGATGCCTTTTCAAAAGGAGTGACAGTGCATCAGCCCATGTGCAGAAATCCTGCCCCAGGTTGGCCCCGGGCTAAGGGGATGCGCAGGTGCTGTAGGCTGCAACAACCGGGTGGGCTTGCTTTTCAAAGACCTCCTGTGGTCTAGTCCCTTGCTGCAGCCCTGCTGGTTTTGCTGAGCTGGAACGGCCGCATGGGCGGCCCACTGCTCCCGCTTCTGTCCAGCCGTGCAGGGCAGTGGCTGGCTGGGGCGAAGCCCTCGCACCCGGATCTCGGAAACCAGCTGCTGGAAAAACACCGGCTCTCCTGATATCTCAGTAGGAAAGATTGTAGGTTGGGGGCAGAGAGCCGCTGACGGGACTGGGCATGATTATGCCCAAGGGATGGATGGGGGGGCAGTGGGGCAAGAGGGCTGCCTCCTGCCACACTTCCACACCCAGGCAAGCGGCACACGTCTCCCGCATGCACCCGGGAGCAGCCCCTACTGCTAGTGGGGAGCGGCCTGTCCACTGGGGGATCCCCAACCCGTCCTGGGCAGGGCTGCCCTCCCCCGGGTGACCAGGTTTGCAGCCTTGGAGCGCCCCTGGACCCCGTGCTGCTCAGCTGGACTCGGTGGCCTGGAGTGCTTTCCGCCAGCTTCAGCTGGTGTGCCTGCTGCGCCCCTGCCTGGCTGCGAGGAGCCTTGCTGGGGTCACCCACGCGCCAGTTCCCTTGTGTCCAGAGCACCGCAGTGCGCGCTACATGGGGCTGCCCTTGAGAACCGTCCAGGAATTGCCCCTGGTTCAAAATCAGACCGCCTGTGTGCTGACCAGGATGGGTTCACGCACACGCAGCTCCGGTCCCGCGCAGGCTGCCTCGGGTGCCGGTTGCCACCTGGGCCTGACTCAAAGTGCTTACAATAGCACCCGAAGCCCTGAGTGGCTTTGGACCAGGCTCCCGGGGGAACGCCTGTCTCCACACGCTCCAGCCCCGTCACCGCGGTCGCCAGTGGGGGCCCTTCTCTGTGTTCCTCCCCTGGCAAAGCGAGAGGGGAGATGGTGGGGACAGGGGCCTTCCCCCTAATAGTGCCCCGATTATGGAGCTCACTCCCACCCAACCAACCCTTTATTATGTCAGGCACCATCAAAAACTGATCTTTTTCATGATTATTTTGGTGTGTGAGCTGTTGTGTTTTGGCTTAATGGTTTCTGTGGTTTTAATGGTTTGTGCTGTTACTGCTGCCATCTTCTGATTTTAATTCTAGATACACTTTTAAGTATGTATAACTTTATCTGGGCCATTTAAAAATACATCAATGGTTTAGTTTTATGCCTTTTTTGGTTTTCTTTTTTGTTTTTGCTACCTTGTTGGATGATTTTACATTTTGCTTGTTATAAACAAACAGTATTGTTAATTGTTCTTAAAATGTTGTTCTTGTGTTGTGAGCTGCCCAACGGACCTATAGCTAATGGGGTGGCATACAAATCACATCAAATCAATCAATCAATAGTTCTGTGTTGAGGCAGAGGATGAAATAGAAATCTTTTGGAAACTGGAGTAGGTGAAGCTAAATGGACACCCACAAGAATGTGGCATGTGTGAATAAAATCATCCAGCCAAGGTGTGAGGAAGATGCGGTCATGAAGGGGACCCCTCCTTGAGAGCCTCCGCTCCGCCAGAAGAAACAGCAGAAGGTCCCGCAGGACAGCTGCCGCGTCGGTGGGAAAGAGGGGCAGCCGTGCACCTGCCCACGAGGGATTCCCTGGGTCTGCTTCCATCCCACGCCAGGTGGTGGCGGGCGCAGCCGGCACCTGCTTCTCCGCTTGTTCGCACTGAGTGGCTGGACCACCATGGCAAAGCACACACTGGGTTTCTGGCACGAAAGAGGGGGAGCGGTGCCCAGGCGGCCTCTGCTCACTCAGGTCCCACCCACAAGCTCCTGTAAATGACCCATAACAAGCACACGATGTGGTCAGTCCCACAGACAGCACCCGATACCCGACACCCCATTTGAGATAGATAGATATATCATTACTATACCACCCAATAGATGAGGCTCTTGGGGCAGTTAACAAACTTTGTTTTTAACATTAAACTTTTAAACACAAAAACATATAGCAATTGCCATTGAATCAGCACAGAAAAATAGTACTATACAGAATAAATGCAATATTAAATATGAAGTTAAAAAGTTAAACTGCTAAAATCCTCAGAACATGCAGACGACTTTGCCTGGCACCAAAAGGAATACAAAACAGGTCCCACCCCTCTGGGAAGCTCGTTCCGGGGCTGGAGCACCACAGCCAAAAAGGCCCTCCTCCTGGTTCCAAAGAAGGGCCCCTGTGATGAGCTCAGGATCTGGGTAGGTACACATGGGACAAGGCAACCTGAATGCTGCATGAAACAAAGTGAACTAAAACGAAGCCAAAAAAACCCCCAAGAATTATCCAGCGACTTGAAACATTGCAAGAAGATGGCCTTTCCAGCCTCAAGAAGGGAAGGGGAGGTAAGGTAGCACCCTACAAGGGCTTGGAAGAGGAAGGACCCCTTCTCGGTCATCCCAGAGCACGGGGCACGGAATAATGGGCTCAAGTCACAGGAAGCCAGGTTCCAGCTGGACATCAGGAAGGACTTCCTGGCTGAGAGAGCAGTGCAGCCACGGAATCAACAACCTGGCGGAGGTGCGGGCATTCAAGAGGCCGTCGGACAGCCATACTTTGACCTGGAGTTGGACCCGAAGCCTTTCTTGACTCCTTCCAACTCTACTATTCTATGATTCTATGAAAAATACAAGAAGACCTTGATGTTTAGAGACAATTACTCAGGTACTGTGTCAGAAACTGAACAAGTAACAGGATGAAGCAACACCAAGCGAAGACAGCTTCTGTACTGGTGGTCGGACGCACCATGGAAATTAACTTTCATTGCTTGTCTTGTGATCTTGCGCAAATACTAAAAGCTGCAAAGTGCAAAGAAAGCACGTTGGCAAGAGTTGCTGTGATTAATGAAACAACATGGTAGTGTTAATGAGGAAACCTTATCAGAATCCCAGAGAGGGGCAAGAAATTGGCAGAAGTGGCTGTAGAACTTGAGGCACCCATGCAGCAGGAAAATGGCTAACGGGCAGGTGAGAAATTTAATTAATTAATTAATGACAGCCTTGGCAACCAATAACAACCTTCCAACCAATCCACAATGCCTCAGCTCCATTTGCTGGATACCAAATCACCGCAGGCTCATTGCAGGGAAAAACCACGCTGAAGAAAAAGCCATTTAGAAACATCACACAGTTGAGAACTTTGGGAGCGTAACTGTTACTGGTATGAGTTGTGAGCAACAAGATGATCCAAGGAAACACGCCCATCATTGCGTGACATAAGTGTTATATCCCTTACTGGATGACTGGACCTCTCTGAACTGTCCCCCACTATTTAAAAAACCATCTTTACAGCTCCTTTCTTCCCAGGCACAACATTCACGGTTAAATGATACTTCAGTGCTTTGCACAGGGAGAAGTCATGGCTGCATTAGACAGAGAGTGGAGTTTGATTACTTGGCTTGTATTTGTTGGATGCGCAGAGAGAGAAGTTGGAAACCTAAACCAAAGAGAAATGTATAAAATAAGATTATCCATTTTGGGCACGACCCTCAAAAACTCCAGGTTTTGCATGAAGAGTAGACCACTTTATATTGTGTTTCCTTCCATGTTGTGAACAGAGGACCGCCGAGAGAACTGTCTAATTGACTTCAGACCTTCTGTCTGGCATTCACCATGGTCGAGGCAGATCTGGGGCAAAGGCCTGGAAGTCACCCTCAGGTTCTGCTTTGTTTTTTAATTTGGTTTAGAGTCCTACAGAATTTATTTATTAATTTGTTTGGGATATTTCTAACCCGTCCAATCACTGTCCATCTCTGGGCAGTTTACAAAACAGGTTCAATAAATACAATAATACAAAATATCATAAATACCCCAACAAAGATAAAACTAAGAACCCATGACTGAAAGTAAAAAAATAATTAAAACCTTTTGAACATTAAAATATTGGGTGAATAAAAAGGTCTTGACTGGCGCCGAAAAGCATATAATGACGGTGCCAGGCAGACCTCTCTGGGGAGCGCATTCCATAGCCAGGGCGCCACCGCAGAGAAGGCCCTGCTCCAGGTATTCTGTCTCCTGATCTCCTTCACGGAGGGTTCCCGGAGCAGGGCCTCTGCTGCCGATCTCAGGGTAGGAGGGCATGCAGGGAAAAGGCGCTCCTTTGGGTATCCTGGCCTAGCGTTGTTGCTCAGTGGGCAGATTGGAGCAGTATCTTTTCCAGTGCCTTACTCTATTGTTGTGAAAAGGCCCGACAAAGCAGTGTGTTGGAAGTCATCTCTGAAATGCATGATCCTGAACAACAGTCAACCACCGAGAAGCCCCCCACACACACACACACACACTCACACACACCGCCCTCCCCTGTGCTTCGCCTCAGCCCCATGTCAGGGGTGTAGTGACAGATCCCGGACCGGCCTCTGCCGTGCCTGCTCCCCACTCCCCTCCGCAGAAGTATTTCTGTGGGCGCCCTTGCAGGATGGCGCCCATGTACACACATGCGCGCGCGCACACACACAAGATTTGAACTTGGCACCAAATCAGCACAGCATCGGTACCAGTTGCGCCTCCACGGGGAAGGCCTTCCACCGGCGAAGGCCCCCACCCCGGCTGCCACATGGGGCACCACGAGCACTCGGGGAAGCCCATCCCAGGCAAGGACGAGTGGATGCAGGGAGGAGCCCCCGGTAAACCCTCACCAAACGCACCTTCAAAGCAGGCGCCGCCACGACGGACCGCTCCGCGTGGGTGGCCGAGTCCAGGGAAGTCCAAATCCCATCATTTCCTTTCGGCAGCTATTTCCAGCTTCCCACACATTGGGATCTCGAGTCCAGCACACTCTTCCAGGAAAGCCCTTTCCAAGGACTGGTTCAAAGTATGGGCACTCATCAGGTCTGGGAGGGCTGGTTGTGCGTCCGTCCGAAACCCCGCTAACACATAGCGAGCTGATCCGGGTCCTGGGTGAACATTGCTCGCTTGCTTGTGCATCGACTGGCACACCACCCCCGTTCCTGGTGAACTGGCCGCCACTTTAGGACACTCATCTGCACGAATCTGTAAATCCATAGGCTTTGTACCTGCACTGGACAATCTTGGACATGCATGTCATCCCTCGCACCCCGGGACATGAAAACTGCCTTCAGACGTTGCAGAAAACACCAGGACAGCCTGCCTTCCCAATAGTGTGAGAAACAGCCTGTGACACGCATATGCATGCAAACCTGCACATGGAATCACAGACTAGTAGAGTTGGAAGGGGTCATGGTGGCCATCAGGTTCCAGCCGCTGCTGTTGCAGGACACCACATGACACCATCCCACTCAGGTTGTGGTCCAGTTTCTTTCTGAATACTGGAATATACCCCAACAGACCCAGAACCAGAAGGAACCAGGAGGGCCCAACCAGAAGGCAGCAGAGATGAAGAGCTGCTAAATTTGGGAACAATGGTGGCCTCGTGGGGCTGCACCCGCTGCAATAAGCAACAGCCATTAGTTAAAACTCACTATATGGAGAGAAAAATAGCAGGTTGAAAAGCATTGAATGGCAAAAGTATGTGGAAACAGGAAGAGAGGGTGTTTGGTTTATTCTCTTTCTGATTATCCTACTCTATTTTGGATTTGAGTTTCACTTTTGATTTCTTACCATGGCTGCTTTAGCTGTAACAAAAAGATGTAACAACATTCTGGGCATAACAGACAAAAGCTTAAGCACCGCAACAGAGAGAGCATCTCGAAGACTGTCCAATAAGTATCTTCCAAAAAAACCAGGAAAAAAGCTAGAGTATGGAGCATGTGGCCTTCGATGTCTGTACAGTAATGCCTGCAGTACTGCAAACAAACAGCATGAACTTGAACTCTTAATACAGGATGGGGAATGCGACTGATAGACATAACAGAGACTTGATGGCTCCCATGACTGGAATTCAACAATTGGAAAATACAACCTGCTCAAGAAGAACAGGAGGAACAGAAAGGGAGGTGGAGCCACACTAGACGCTAAAGGCACAAATCGCTGCCCAGAAACGCAGGAGGATGAGCTTAGTAGCCCCACCGAGAGCATCTTGACTGATGTAAATGGAGCAGGGAATCAAAGGAGCCCAGTGGCTGGAGCCTTTTGCCGACCTCCCAGTCGAGGAGAAGACCAGGATGGAACTTTTGCAAAGCAACCAGCCAGTGTTTCAGGGAGGCGTGTGTTGTTGTTACGAGGCATTTTAATTATACAGATGTATGTTGGGAGACAAATTCTGCCAAGCATGGGCCCGCCAAGAGATTACCAGCATGCATTGCTGATAACTTCCCCCAACAGATGGTGGAGGGTTAGGGTTAGAACAAGAATAACGGCTATCCTTGAATTGATACTAGCCAACAGGGAGTGAGTACCCAGGGGACAAAGTGGCAGCTACAGCGACTCTGGGAGAAAGTGACCATGCCAAACTTCAGTTCTTGATTCTAAAGGAAGCAAAGGCCATGTGTAGCCAAGCACGTACCCTGGATTTTAGGAAAGACAATTTTAATAAACTCAGAACAATTGTAAGTAAAGTCCCATGGCAAGTGACTCTAACGAGAAAAGGAGCCCAAGATGGGTGGGGATTAAAAAAAAAATCTAAAGGCACAATTACAAACAATTCTAATAAGGAAACTAGATAGAAGGCAACAGAAGTAGCTCATGTAGCCCCACAGGAAGCTTAGAGATGATCTGAAAACAAAAAAGGACATGTATAGGAAGTGGAAGGAAGATCAGACTACAGAGAAAGAATACAGGCAGTTAGCACAGAATTGTAGGGATGGAGCCGGGAAGGCTCAAGCTAGAAAAGAACTGGGGCAAGTGAGGAGAGCGAAAGGCAACAAAAAGTCTTCTTCAGAAATGTCAAAAAGAAAAGGCAGAGAAAAGAAATGGGAGTTCAACTACTCCACATGAATGACAAAACAACAACAGGTGACAAAGAAAAGGCAGAAGTGCTCAATTCCTGCTTTGGCTTCATCTTAGCTCAAAGGCAGATCCATGACCATCTGATGAAAGGGGAGCACAAGCTGAAGGAACGGGATGGCTGCTCAAGACTGACAGGCAAATGGTCAAGGACCACTGGAACGAAGAACTTCGAATCTCCAGGGCCTGATGAACTCCAGCCTGGGTCACAAAGGAGCTGGCAGAAGAACTCTCAGAATGACTGGCCATTATCTTTGAGAAACCATGGAGGGCAGGTGAAGTGCCAGATGACTGGAGAAAGGCTAGTGCAGCCCCCATCTTCAAAAAAGATGGGGGGGGGGAAAGAAGGGGGAAAAAGAACAGCTTGGGAACTACAGAGCAGTCAGTCTGACATCAATCCCTGGGAAAATTCTGGAGCAGATTATAAAGCAATGTTTGCAAACATATTGAAAACAATGTGGGGATTACTAGAAGCCAACATTGTTGTTGTTAGTCGCGAAGTCATGTCTGACCCATCGCGACCCCATGGACAACATTCCTCCAGGCCTTCCTGTCCTCCGCCATCCCATGGAGTCCACTTAAGCTCACACCAACTGCTTCAGTGACTCCATCCAGCCACCTCATCCTCTGCCATCCCCTTCTTCTTTTGCCATGTATTGTTGGCTCTTCTCCAGGGAGTCCTTCCTTCTCATTAGGTGGCCAAAGTATTTGAGTTTCATCTTCAGAATCTGGCCTTCTAAAGAGCAGTCAGGGTTGATCTCCTCTAGGACTGACCGGTTTGATCGCCTTGCAGTCCAAGGGACTCGAGGGAGTCTCCTCCAGCACCACAATTCAAAGGCCTCGATCCTTCGGCGCTCAGCCTTCCTTATGGTCCAACTTTCACAGCCATACATTGCAAAGAAGCCAACATGGATTCCTCAAAAACAAAACCTGCCAGACTAATTAGATTTCATATTTTGATTGGATAACTTCCCTGGTGGACTGTGGAAATGGCGTGGATATAATTGATCTTGACTTCAGCAAAGCTTTTGACAAAGTGCCCCATGATCTCCTGATTAGCAAACTAGCTAAAAGTGGACTTGATGGAACAACTGTCAGGTGGAGCCACAGTTGGTTGCTCAAATTCGGGGGAGGTAACATGTGGGGCACCACAGGATTCAATCCTGGACCAATCCAATTCAATATTTCTATTAATGATTTGGATGAGGAAATGCATGGAACTATTATCAGATTTACTGATGACACATAACTGGGTGGGACAGCGAATATCCTGGAAGACAGAAAGAAGATTCAAGGTGATTTTGAGAGGTGAGATACTGGGCAAAAAACAATAGAATGAAATTCAGTAGGACAAATGCCAGGTTCTAAACCTAGGAAAAAGAAACCAAATGCATTGTTCCAAGATGGAGAATATTTGGCTCAACAATACTGAAGCACTTCCTGACAGTCAGGACCCCGAGGGTGTGGAATGGGCTTCCATGAGAGGTCGCTGAGGCCCCATTGGTGCGGGTGTTCAAGGATAGGCTGGACATGCACATGGTGGGCATGTTGTGAGTGGAGCCAGCTGGAGCCGAGGGTCAGACTAGATGGCCTGGGAGGCCCCTTCTGACTCGCGCTGTTTCTATGTTTCAATGTTACTGCAAATTAGATGAATCTTCGAATTGTTGAACGCCAAGCTAAATATGAGTCAACCATATGATGTGGCTGCAAAGAGGGCAAATGCTATTTTAGGCTACATTAATAGAAGAATCACTTCTGAATCATGTAAAGTACTAATTTCCCTTTACTCAGCACTGCTCAGACCTCATCTGGAGTCCTACATCCTGTTCTGGGAACAATACTGAAAAGATAACTATCCCCCTGCATTAGTACAGAGGGTGGAGGATTTAACAGAACTTTTGATCTTGGAATGGGTGGTCTTCAGGAGTAATTTACAAATGTATAAATATTCTGATATTTGAGTTGCCTTTGTTGAAGTATATGCATAAATATTTCTATAAACAGTAATAAATTTTGCCAAAAGATCCAAACAGTAATAAGTGTTGTATATCTCAATATATTAATATAGAGATATACAACATGTATGAAATTAATGTTATGGATCTTTTAAATCTTATCTAAAAGCAGAAATATTGTCTCTTATTTTGTCTTCTCTCTCTCTCTGCAAGCTGTGGTTGGGCTTTGTATGGTTTTTTTTTAAGCACTGTTAAATGCTGAGGAGCCATGTATCCTCTTTTATTGAGGATAGTAATCTATCTATAATCAATTCAAGTTGCGACAACCCAGCTTCAGGTTAGACATCAGGAAAAGCTTCCTCACTGCCAGAGCAATACAGCAGTGGAACCAGCTGCCTGGAGGGGGGGGGGGGGGCTCTCCCACACTAGAGACATTCAGAAAGGGACTGGACAGCCATCTGAGTGGGATGGTGTAAACTGGTGTCCTGCAACAGCAGGGGGTTGGGCTGGATGGCCTTCATGGCGCCTTCCAACTCTACCGATCTATGATTCCTTCCTGCCACCGGTGAGTGGGGTCCAGCTGCTTGGCCTTGGTCCAGCGGGTCCAACCACTTAGCCATGAGGAAGCAGGCCCAAACAGCTGGTCTTGGCACCATGCCCCACCTGCCCAGGCCTGAGACACACACCCTAGAACCCTGTGGCTTCCCCGGCTCCTGCCAATGCCAGAGGGAGAGCAGGATTGCCTGGAAGCATCCACAGGGTCCTAGCAGAAATGGATGTTGGCTATCATTGGCCAGAGCCCTTTGGAGAAGGCAGCAAAGGCTTTGCCACTCTGGCCACAGGACCGTTCCCTCTTTGCCTTCATGTTGCCCAGGCTCAGATAACACCTTCAGCCACGGTGGGGTAATTAGCCCCTAGTACAAGCCTTGGGTAACTGCAAGTAGCTGCCTGCACAGGGAGGGGTCTTGACGATGCATTAACCCATCTTCCTTGCCAGCCAAGGTGGGTTGCGATGTCTTCTGAACACGAGTCTCCTCTGCAAACCCAGCCCCGTTTGGATATGTACATGCCATCCCACCCTGTCCTGCCTCTGCTTCCTGGACATCTTTTTCATCAGAGCATGTTCATTGACAAAACAAAACAAAAAAGGAAGAAAGCAACCCTAAGCAGGTGGAGGGATAATTAAATTAAAGGCCTTTCTAAAGAGGAGGCAATTAGGGTATTGATCAGGAGAAGTACCAAGTTAATTGGGCATGTGACACATTGACATTTCCTTGCAATCAATAAAACCCATGGCACCTTCAAAGAAATCTTCTCAAGCACCGTGAAACCGCAGTGGGTCAAACACGCCATGAATTCCACGGGCTGATTACTGCCGTGCACTTCTTTCATGTTCTCTCAATGCCAGAGAGCTGTCTGATGGGGGGGATTTTCTCTCCCTCCTGATTTCCCAAATGTGGCTTTAATAAAAGTCTTTGATGGAGCCCGTCAAGGCTTTCTCTGTGCTTTTTAATAGAGAGAAATCTTGTCAGTTTCTGTTGGCTTCGCTTTCCATTCTCCACAGAGAAGGGGGCTTAGGAATGCGCTTTCTCTTTTCTTTCCCTTTTTAAAAAATGTCAATTAGCACTCGGGTCAGTAGGTATCGGCGCCTCGCCTGCACTCACTTTCCAAATGCTAGGGACTGGGCCCAAAATGCAAGCCATGCAAAGAAACGCAGTGTGGAAGGCAATCAAAGGACCTATTTCTGTTTCTTCTTTTGTTTTATCTTCTACTTTGAAGGGAGCTTTAAAAAAGTTGTAATGGAATGAAATCTGTTCACCCTGAACATGCTTGAAATCTGGCTACAGGTAAAAGGAAGTAAAACCCAGTTCAGACATTCAAAAGGACAGATGCACCAAAGGCCTGGGTTGTCCAGCCTTAGGAATGCCCTCTTCTGACTTCTGAATTGAGACACTGGCATCCCACACAGGAGGCACCGGAGTTCTTTCCTCGGGTGCCCGGGTCTGGGTACTGGGGAAGCCCTGGGTCCTGCCTCATGTGTTACGGTCTGGCCCCAGCCCCTTCAAACAGTCAAAAATTATTCACCGTTTCAGTGGGAATGCAAGCCCTCCTCAGAGCACGGCCGCGGACAGCTCCACGCGGGGGCTGACAGCTCCTTCCCGCAGGCCGCCTGCAGGGCTCCCCTGGAATGCGGCCGCTTGCTAGAGCTTTGCAAGAGACCTCCCCATGCAGCCCCTACACAACTGCAGCCCTGGCGCCTTTGTGGTGGCAGAGACAGAGTCCCTCGTGTACTTTAATTGTGTGCGAGCACTCGATGGGACCAGATCTGTTACCTTGGTTTTGTAGAGGTGGCCATCTTGGTTTTTCTTGTTTTCACATGATGTGATTTAAGTTTTTTAAAAATCTGTATAAAATGCATACTTTTGGAGGGAAGATATTTCTTCACATTAACATATGTATTTTTGTGTGCATTTTAAACACAACATTTCCCCAAAGTATTTACATTGCTAAAATACTGTTTTGCACACTTTTCTCTCACTTTTTCACACCTTCCGGATATACATGTTATTGTCAAGATGAGCTGCATAAAGCATGCACAGAAGCCATTTTCAGAACACAGGTGCACCTCCAGTAAATCTGTTTTTAAAAATGATCGACAAAAGCAGTTTCTCACCCACCCCTAAGCAAGGCCCCGGTTTCCCAGGGGTCCCGATCGCATGAATCTTGGAGCAAATCTTTTCACTCAGCCTTGCAAGGCCATCTCTAGATTGTCCAGGGAGCTAGTGAGTCAGTCCTTGGCATGGATCCCCTGCGTGCATCCTGACAGAGGAACTGTTCCACTCTGCGAAGTGTCCTCAGGGTTGGACCCGGCCTGCTCCCACATCCAGGGCCCGGGTGGGGAGGGCGCTTCCCTGGCTAACACTTGCCCACCACGCGTCTCCATGTCCCAGAGACCTACTGAGCTCTCCATCATCTCAGCCGCTTCCCAGCGCATTCCGCATTGCATTGCTGCTGAGCAAGGAAGGGCGCGGATCCTCCCCTTCTTCCATGGGCACAGGCACTGCTTCCATTCGGACAGCCAAGCAACACGGCTCTCCAACGAGCACTGCCAATGCTGCGAGCGGCGTGAGGAGTGCATGGACCAGGGAGAAGCCAATCAATCATTTTGCAAGGAGCTTGCTTGGCAAAAGCATTGCTGCTTCCCTTTTTATGGCCCGTTGAGGCTGTCAGGATGGTTGAAACCTTCACAAGTTATTTGCCTCGGCAGCCCAATAGTTATTAAAATGCCCATTTCATTGTTTCCTGGAGAAGCAATCTTGTGCACACAAAGGGCTGACGGGAGACAATCGCACCTTGATCTCATTTAAGGAAGCCGATTGCCAGCAGAGAAACGCCATCGGACCAAGATCTCACGCAGCTCCAATCGGTCAATGGCTCCGAGCGTGTTTGTAATGCCCCTTATTGCTCACTGGGCTGCTGGCATGACTCTGGGGGACAGTGGCACTTCAGCAGGATTCACTGCTGCATCGTCTGCATCCTGCAACTGGGGAAGGCGCTCCTCATAAATATGGTGCGCAAACAGTAGGGAAATGCTTCCCATAAGCAATTAACTGCAGCAACATCAGGGCCGGGACGGCGGAAGGAGAGCGTGACTAGCGGGCTGCGTTGTGCACTATGGGGAGAAGAAGGGTGAGGGGGACATGCTGCAGGGGGCAGGTTTTGGGTGCCACGAAATAGGAGGAGGCAGTGCCACATAGTGGTTAAAGGATGAGAAGGGAGCATGAGGTCTGGAGGAGGACATTTCAGATCACCACGAAGTTGACTGGGCGATCTTTCAGGCCTGTCATCCACCTGTTCTGCCTGAACTGCCCCACAAGGATGCCATGTTGGATAGAACTGAAGAGGGAGAGATCAAAGGACTGTGCTTTCTTGGGTTCCTCGGAAGAAAGGTGAGAAGCAAGTGAAATCCATCTTTGAAGAAATGGATTAAGGGCATTGCAAAATGGATCTGCCCTGCCAGCACAGTCTACTGGCTGATTCTGCAGTACGGCCCCCACTCGGGTGCTGTTCAGACCCCATGAAAGCCTGAATCCGCCATTTTATTGTTTTCCGAGGGGAAACATCCAGTCCCTGCCCACAGAGTCCTCTACCCTCAGTGCATCTGTGGGGAGAAAAACACGCCAAGTGCCCCACGTCAGGATCTGTGGACTGAATCCACCTGTGGACACTGAAAGGAAACTATGCCAGGTGAAAGGAAAAGTGCCCAGTCTCAGAGCCATCCAAGATCATCGCCGGATGCTGCCCCGTCGAGTGATGAAGGCACACGTGTGCATCAGTCCTTGCCAACAGGCATGTGAACTGGTACCACTGGGATGGGATGTCGGATACCCTGAGGGAAATTTCCACCCATGACAACTCGGACTGGCTCACGCATGCAAAGCGTGGCTGAGCAATGGCCCTGCGTGTGGCTCAGGCAGGTACTGGAGACACTCTATCAATGTCCGAGGCTGCGATCATGCACGCACTTGACTTTTGGATGCATGGGGGACCCTTGGCTTCTGGAGCCCCCTCCAGCCCCCCCCCCCCCCCAGGCAGCAGGCTCCATCATGTTTAGCATCCACGTGCGGCCACCAGGAGGGTGTCTGGCACACGGAGTGCGTGCCCTGAGGTCTCCACCAGGTGCTGCCTCTTTTTCCGTTGATGATTCTGTATTTTGCTTCAATGGACTGATTAAAGCAGACTTTGAGAAACTTTCTTTAAGGAAATATTAGTTATAACAATGTATAGATGTGCCCCCTTTTCTTCCATACAGTCCATACATGAAGGTCTTGAAAGAGTGGAGTCATCTCATCCCACGGGCTGCCTCAACCCACAAATGTGGGGCCATGCTAAGACTATCATGCCTCTCTCCAAAGAGTGTTTGAGATTAATGTTTGTTTCACAACAACCCTGCGGGGTTGATTACACTTTTTCTATCAGTAGTTCAGTGATTTCAACCATCAACCATCAGTAGCTCTCACCTTCACTTAAGGGTCCAACACTCACCTTTGGTTCCCAGGCAGCACCTGGAGCCGTTCTTCAAGCTGATCCTTCACCAGGAATCAGAACTTCCGTCCAAACACCTGACATTTGGAAACTGCTACAGTGGGAAAAATCAGAGGAGGTAGGCCAGAGATGGGGGCAAAATGGAGTCTGGTGACTCAGGAATGCTTCCACGATGAAGCTTGGTATGCATGACAGGAGAACTTTGGTTTCAGGTGGGATAAAAAGTAGTACCTCTTAAAAAAATATTTAATGTATAAATGACTCTTCAGCCCACAAGGAATCCCAACATACATATCATTTTAAAAACAAAGCCAACATTTTTAATACAGTTAGAAGGAGAAAAAGCACCCCTCTTGAATCAGCAAACCTACAAAACAGAATGATCAATTCAGTTGAGGCATTAAAATAAATAAATATAGAACAATGATTTTAAAAATGCTTACATGGCCGGGCAAAACAGAACATTTGTGCCAATCGCATCTCTCCTGGGACAGCGGGCCAAAGCTTCCCTGCACGGAAGCCCCTCACCCTCCTTCCGAAACGCACGGTGCACTGCTCCGCAGAGGGGGCACACGGCAGCTTCGGGCGTCCATGGCTTGCTGTTCCCGGGATGTGGATGCCAGCTGTGAGCTGGCAGGGCTCTTTGGGCCGCCTCTGCTGGGAATGCCGCTGCCCGGGACAGGCTCTGTCCACGAAGGCCCGTCCGCTCTACGAACGGGAGCCACAAAGCAATCTGCACGTTCCACATTTTCTCTCCTAAACTAAAGTGTTTTTAGCCATGTGTCTGGGGGGAGGGGAAATACAGTGCAATTATACATTTTTATGATGCACCTTTCACAGTTTATCACAAAGCTGGGCGCATAAAAAATGAATTGCATAAATTTTAAAGACATTTAATACACACACAGTTAAAATCATGCACCAACAGCAACTAAGAACAGGTGTGGGTTTGAAGAGAGACTTAATACACCAACGTGAGATGCACACAGGAAATGCCGGGGGGGGGGAGGGATCGTGCTGCAAGCTTGCCAGTTGCCCCCTCTGGGCCCGGCACCTCCCTCTGAGGAGCATCATCAGGAGAAGACGCAGAGGCTGCAAGTCTTGGCAAGCGGGACAGCGAGGGGGGCCAATGCAAAATTTACCCTCAGTCAGTATAGTGGTTAAATCATCAAAAGTGTGTTTTATTTCATCAATCAGCTAAATTTTTTAAGATTAATTCAATACTACTCAATCAGTTATTAAAATCCCTGGAAAATGAAGCTGCTTTCGACTGGCACCGAAATGACTGTGAAGGGGTGCCAGGCACACTTCTCTGAGGAACCGATTCCAAAGACTGGGTGCAAGCACTGAGAAGGCCCTTCCGTCGTGTGCGGCACCAGCACAAGGTGCCCGAGCGTGCAAACACAAGGAACAGTTTCGACCGGGGTGCAAGCTCTGACAGTGGAGGTGAAACGGTTGTGGAACCTTAGCAAGCCACGGTATCCGATCAAGGTCAAGCCGTGTCTGGGGACCAAGGGGAGGAGCTGCCAGTCCAGTCCAGGATGATGGGGGCAGGTGACCCACTGACCTGCGGGGTGGGGGAGACAGCAGAACAAGAGGTGAGGGTGACACCCGGGGCTGACAAGAGCCCTGGTCCACCAAGAGTCGGCCAGGAGGAAGAGCTGGGGTCTGGGCAGTCCCACAGCAGAGCCGAGCCATCCACCTGGCACAGGTCCCTCCCCCTGAGCAGGTGGTGCCCGTGGCCAGGTGACCGCACAGCCGGGAAGTTCAGTTGACGGAGAAGCGGGGGGGTGGCATAGGACGGGTTGGCACAGTGCTCCCCCTGCAGGGCTGGCAGACCAAAGGGGAATAGAGGGCCGGGGGGGGGTGCATTTTCGGCAGTGGTGGCCATACTCTGGGATCCTCCCTGACAGGGATTCAAGGATGATTTGAAACAAGGAAACAGGAGGAGTGAAAATGTACCAAAGAAAATCCCTTAGCCACACGGGGAGGGGGCTGGGATCAGATAGCAGGAGGGAACGGGCACATAGACAGAATAGCGGTACTCTCACTCAGTGGCCTCATGAATATTAACTAACACACTCCACATAGAAAATAAGCTCATTATAATGCACACGGGACGGACGAACTGGGAGGAGAGAACAGGTATTGGAGCAGCACGGAATAGGTGGGCGGAAAAGATCGCGACCACCCAGGCCCTCCGCAAATGAGGGAGAGGAGGAGGGAGAAGCGGACGGGGAAAGGGCATAAATAGGAGATGCGAACATGCGCTCGGAGAGTTGGAAAGGGGAAGGAAGCCCTCCAACTCCCTTTAGTGCAATCAAGTTTCAGAATAAAAACTCTCTGCTGCCTGGAGCATTTTCTCTTCCAAGGGAGAGGAAAGTGTTCCTCGCACTCCTCCAGGGACAGACAGAGCACCGACTCTGCTTTCCTTCAGGCACCAGGTTAAACCCTTTTTGGTCCAACAAGCTTTTGGTTAATATAATTTATATTTTATATCATTGATTATATTTTTAATTCTGGCTGTTAATTTATTGTTTGCATTTTGTCATGTTGTGTGTGGTCTTTATAATTTTTTATGCGGGATGGTTTATAATTTACTAGTTTCTATCTGTTTTATCAATTGTATTCATATGCTGTTTTCAGCATTTGTAATCCACCCAGAGAAACTTCAGGTTATGGGCTGGCACAGAAGTGGAATGAAATAAGCAGACAAACAAATAAATAAAGACGAGACAGTCGAAGGGGAGTGACAGAGAGCTCAGCACCTCACTCTGGGTGAGTGCAGAGTTATGGAACAATAAGGTCCTGTGGAAGAGCAACTCAGGAGTAGCGTGTTTCCTCGGGAGGAGAGCCAATTTCATGGCACTTTCTTCCATTTGCCACCCCTTCCCCTCCTTTGGGAAGGCACTTCAGGAAGGGCCTCTGAACTCATTCTTAACAGCTGGATGAAGCCATATGGGCAGCCTCTCCTCTGGCTCTTGGGGTTCAGGATAAATCCCAACCCATTTGGAAAATTCTGCTTGACAACCAAGTGACGCAATGTAGCAAAAATACATTCCCAGTGAATTGTCCTGCAGCCACTTCCAGTGTCGGGGCCGGTGGCCGGTGGTAGCCCCTTCTGTCAGTGTCCAGAGCTATCCGAGCACAGATCCCCCCTGGAATGATCAAAGCAGTTTTGTAATCACTTCTTATACTCTATCAGCCACAATAGTAGCCAATATTTGACTATTTACATTAATTAACGTAATAAACAAGAAGTTAGCAAATTAGTCTGATTCTTGCCTGGCATAAAAATCACAGTATAATAGGCTTCATTGAACCAAAAAAAAAGATGGTGGGGGCAGAATCAAAGAGACAGTTCTAAAGATTTGGACCAACCAGGCCGAAAAACGGTCTGCCTCATTCTGTTCCAAGCGCTGCAAGCCAGCCATCCCCCAGGCCCACGGGCTCCTGGGGGCTCTCATGGTTCCTTCGGTATGCAAAGGAGCCCGAAGGAACTGCCATTCTGGGATCCAATATCTCCTGGTGGCATAAGGTGCAGATACAATCGAGATATGATAAAGATTGTAAAGCGTGGGATTTTTATAAGGACTTAACAGCATTTGAGCAAGTGATGCTTAAATCAGAGGAGAAAATGATTAAAAGATTATAGGACTTCTTACTTGATAGGAAAATGGAAGATGAACAGGTTAAGGAAACTGATAACGTGGGCACAAAATTTTGGATATAATATTGAATTAGAAAAGTGGCAAAAGCTGTGGGAGAGAAATATCAAGGTAACATTAGCAACTTCGTATAAAGAAAACTTGTGTAAAATGTTTTATAGATGGTATCTGTCGCCAAATAGATTAGGTAAGATGTTTCCAAATATGTCAAATGGATGTTGGAAATGTAAACATAAATTGGGCACTTTTTATCATATGTGGTGGACTTGCGATAACGTGGAAGAGTATTGGATTAAAATACATAAATGGCTCGAGGAAATGTTACAAAAATCCTTAGCTTTTAAACCTGAAGTTTTTTAATTAGGCATTATACTGGAGGACACTAGCAAACAAGAAATGTATTTGATTTTGCATGTAATCACTGCGGCGAGGATCGCATTCGCTCAACACTGGAAAAGTGAAGAACCACCCACCGATGAACTGATTCTAAAAAAGATCCTGGACTGTGCAGAAATGGATAGATTGACTTTATCACTGAAGGAGAAAGAAGATACTGACTTCTATCAAACTTGGGACTTTTTATTATTGGCTAAAGAAATGGGACTTCGCATAGATTTAAATATGTTTTTAAAGCTATCATAAATGGAAAAAAAGGGTGTGGGAGCTGACCCAGCGGGCTCAATGTTTTTGATGAGGGATGTTGTTTGTAGTTTTTTTTTGTTTTGTTTTTTTAGGATTATAATTTCAAATAAAATTTATTAAAAAAAAAAAAGAAAAAGGAATTGCCATTGTGAAGACTCGTGAAACAGAAGACCAACATGTGAGAGCAAAGCATGTCTGTCCTACTCCAGCTCAAACTCTCGCTATTTTCCCAGCACATTTTCATGCACCGGTTCATACAAGTTCCACCTGCAGTGACAGGAAGTTTAATGTATTGCACAGCCTGAAAAAACAGTGGAATTTGGGCAAGTAGCAAACCATGGTAGAAGTTTCAACTTACAATGCAGTGACTGATACAAGGGAACAGGCACTGATGCTAAATGCCTATTTTGCTTCTGTGTTCTCCCCAAAGCAGGACGGGGGAGATCCGCATAGGAGATTAGATGAGGCCGGGGACTTAGGGGCACAGATTAGAGTCACCCCCCTTGAAGTCGAGGGGCTCCTCAGGGCATTGGACATTACAAAGGTGCCAGGCCCTGACGGGTTACACCCAAGAGTATCTAGAGAGTTGGCAGGGTTCTCTCACACCCGCTGGCCTCCATTTTTGAGGCCTTGTGGAGAACGGGTGAAGTTCCAGAGGACTGGAGGGTGGCATCAGTGGTCCCAATTTTCAAAAAGGGTAGTAGAAAGGACATGGGGAATTATAGACCAGTTAGCCTTACGTCCATTGTAGGAAAAACAATGGAAAGACTCATAATAAGAAAGATCTAGTGATGCTAGATAGGGAAGGGAGGCTGGCAGCCACACAACACGGGTTCTTCAAAAACAGGTCCTGCCAGACAAACCTTGTGGAATTCTATGACAAGGTTTCAAGATGGCTAGATGGAGGGGATGCAGTGGATGTGGTTTACCTGGATTTCAGCAAGGCCCTTGAAAAAGTGCCCCATGATATCCTGGTGGAGAAACTGAGGAGTTTTGGGATACACCAAAGCACTGTCCGGTGGATTAGGGCATGGTTGACTGACCGAAAGCATAGGGTAACCATTAGTGGGAAATCATCGGGATGGTGGCCAGTGACAAGCGGGGTCCCCCAGGGCTCTGTTCTGGGGCTGATCCTGTTTAATCTTTTCATAAATGACATGGAAGAAGGGGTGAACAGTGTGAGATCAAATTCGCAGACGATAATAAAACTGGGGCAGTGGCCACAACTGAGGAGCAGGTACTCCAGATCCAAAAGGATCTGGACAGACTATGGAAGTGGGCAGGAGACAACAGGATGGCGTTCAATGTGGATAAGCGCAAGGTCTTGCACTTGGGGCATAGGAATAGGTGTCATAAGTGCAGGTTAGGGGACAAGTGGCTGGAGAGCAGCACTTGTAAAAGGGACCTCGGGGTGCTGGTTGACTGCAGGCAAAACATGAGTCAGCCGTGTGATGTGGTGGTCAAGAGGGCGAATGCCACCCTTGGTTGCATAGCCAGAAGCGTGGCTTCTAGATCAAGAGAGGAATTACTGCCACTCTATACAACTCTGGTGCGCCCACAACTGGAGTATTGTGCTCAGTTTTGGGCCCCTCATTACAGGATGGATATAGCCAGGTTGGAGTCAGTGCAGCGCAGGGCCATAAGGTTGGCAGCCAGTTTGCAGGGGATGCTGTATGAGGCGAGACTGAGGGAACTGGGTCTCTTCAGCCTGGAGGAGACTCAGAGGGGATAAGTTGGCCACATACAGGCATGTCAGAGGATGTCACATGGAGATGGGTAGAGACCTGTTCTCCCCTGCAGAGGAAAGCAGGACACACTCTAATGGAGCCAAGCTCAGGGAGCCAAGGTTCCATTTGGATGCCAGGAAGCACTTCCTGACAGTCAGGACCCCGCGGGTGTGGAATGGGCTTCCATGGGAGGTGGGTGAGGCCCCTTTGGGGAGGGTGTTCAAAGATAGGGTAGACATGCACATGGTGGGCATGTCATGAGTGGAGCCAGCTGGAGCCGGGGGTCAGACTAGATGGCCCGGGAGACCTCTTCTGACTTGCTCTGTTTCTACGTTTCTATGATAATTGAGTAATGGAAGTTACGGGTGGCATTTTAGAGGGATGAAGCTACCAAAGGGGGCCGGGCTCATCTCTGGTGCAGCTTCAGTTGGGGCCCACAGCTTACCAGATGCCGCAACTGAGAGCGGGGCATGTGGTTCCTGGCCCTGCTGAGCAAACTGTCCTACTTGCAGTCTCACTGCACCTTCCCTTTGATAGCTGAAACTGGAAGGGACTTGACCTCACAAGGCAAGACACTTCAGGGAGCCGTACGTGAGCCTTTGCAACGGTCCAGCGGAAAGTAAGCACTGCCCCAGTTCGTGCTCTTTTGACGGAGGCAAATGCAACGGGTGGCAACCACAGTAGGCTGGGGGAGAAGGAGCCACCGAGGGGCGGGACAGCCACCCCGATCCGGTCATCAGCCTGGCCGCTCCGTGAACCACCAGCGCCCTGCAGCCCACCCGCAGGACAGCCCTGCGTGACGCGCCAGTGCAGCTGCAGAGGGCGCCGGGAGAGCCGAGCTGCACGTTGCTTGCTCTGGCCCAGCAGCGCTCTTCTTCTCCAGAACAAGCACTTCAGATCTTGCAATAGTTCACCACTGCTTCCATTCTGTTGTGGCCTACAACCTCCATCATTCCCAGACACCATTGCCAGTGGTCAGAGAAAAAGGACTTCCAGTCCGAAGCGTCTGGCAGGCACGGGCTCACCTCCCCACCGAACCTGCCTCGGCAGCTTGCCCAGCGCAGCATCCTGCAACAGCTGGGGTCGGACCCGAAGCCTTCGCGGCCCCTTCCAGCTCTACTGTCCTGTGCTTCTATGACCTTTTTCCGAGAGGTGCTGCGCCCGCTCCATGCAGGATTGGTGCTGGCTGGTCTTTCAGGGGCCCTCTGGCCCTTTTACAGATCATTCCCACCTGGAGGTCAAAGCAAATATGACCCTCGCCTGACTGCTTGCCATTATTTCTGTCCTGACAGGAGAAATTCAAATCCTGCCTTTAAAGGGAAAATATTTACATTTCTCCCCATGGAGTGGCTTGTTACAAATATAACTCTATTGAGTACGAGTTGCTGACAGGTCCATCTGTCACAGCCAGCAGACAAAAGCGGAGCCCCAAAGCCCAACAAATACAACAACAGTAAAGCAGCAAATAAACCACAAAGCTTTAACCATGAATAGGTTTGCAACTACCTGACTTCTCCCTGGGCTACCCTTAGTGACAGGACAAACCCAGGGAGGGACTAGGGAGGCCATGCATCGTATTCCTTTATTTGAAAGTTCCCTCTTCTCTGAAGGGCTATTCCATCCAAATGCAATTTCGGATAAAGAATAGAAATGCAGAAACAGAGTCAGGAGGGGCCTCCCGGGCCATCTAGTCTGACCTCCGGCACCAGCCAGCTCCGCTCACGACATGCCCACCATGTGCATGTCCAGCCTATCCTTGAACACCCTCACTGGTGGGGCCTCAACCACCTCTCGTGGAAGCCCATTCCATACCCTCAGGGTCTAAAAAGGTTAGAGGAAATGGTAACTTTTGGTTTCTCTTGCTTCCTTTTTTAGAACCTTAAATCTGGTGCACCCTGAAATGTCTTTTTAAAAGTTTGCACAAATATTAATATGCAGTTTTGCAGATTTCTCCTAATGTATTTTTATGACTTTGCCCATAGGCATGTGCCTTTTCCCCTAATGGACACATTTTTGTATACATTTTCTGATTGGAGAATTCCACCCCAAAGTAAGAGAGGCTCACCTTTTCGAGGAGAACTGGATGCAAATATTGGTCAAATATGTGAAATTAACACAGAGGCATCCAAACGCAGTCTGTCATTTTCTCTTCCAGGCTTCCTGGGAAGGCAACAAGCAGCACTTTGAGCTGCACCAAGATGTGAGCAAGTGCACACTGCTGCTGTGACACGGAGTGTCTCTGTTGCTTCAAGTTGGTTTTTAATTGCTCATTACAAAAACATAAGGTGGTAAAAGGGGGAAAAGGGATAAAGTAAACTAGAACATTACAGTTTTGGATAAGTTTTAACTGATCCATAACCTTAATTGCATACATATTATATCTCCTCATGTGCTAATATACAGCAGAGCATGCTGCGATTATTGAATATAATTAGGCATAAATTTCAGCAAAGCGGCCCAGACCGCCACGCTTTCATCCATTTGTAGTCTGCGCTTAAAGGCCACCAGTTCAAACTTGAATGTTTCATGAAACCCTGTACCCTTTGCATTTTGGCAGATGGCTGCTTAGCTTTCCAGTGTTGGAATTATATTCTTCTAGCTTCCCAATAAGTACCCTTAAATAGTTACCAACTTTCAGTCACATAATTTATCTGAATTATTAACTCCTCCCAAAAGGGAAGGTCCATTGGGCACTGCCAAAACATCTGGAGAAGAGAATTATACCTCCAAACATTGACTGATTTAATTAAACTATTATCAAAAAGAAGTTGTGGCATCCAGTATATAAGACTATCAGTTCTTGCTGAATTACGCATAGCCTAACAATAACACACTGCACTGATTGGGCAATGTGGAGTGTCCCAGTTCATTATTCCATCCTCAGATAAAACCCTTTATATCGTATTTATTCACTGATAACAGACATACGTACACACGGATGAATGTTGCACCTCAGTCAGAATTCCCCGTAACTCGGGCAGCTCTGAAGCTGTAAAGGCATCAGGACCAAGGCGAGATACTAACAAAGGTCTCAGTTCCATATATTGCCTCGCAGCTGTTGCTGGAAATTTATGCCTAGCACACAAAGCAGAAAATGGCAAAAATATCATCGGGGTGATCCAAAGCTTACTTCAGCCTGTTTGCTTAATTCCACCAGGGAAACATTTTCTTGTCAATCTGTAAATCCAGATTTAACTGCATTGCATTGCCATTGGCCTACGAATTAAATCACCATCACCACAGCACACAACCTGCCCAGCAAGAAGAGGCTCAAGGTCTGATGCGAGCCCAGCGCAATCCCCCCGGACCCTCCAGGAAGGAAGATTCCAAGCTCGACGGGGAGGGGCCTGATCTAAACGGAAAAGACCCCAATCTAGGGCAACTTCTGGGCCCCGTTGTGTGAGGGAAGATCAGGAGGCCACTTCCAGCTCTCTGGGTGAAAGTCGCGTCCTCTTCCAGGATGTTCAGGGTCAAGCAGAGCCCCGTTACAATGTCCAAATGCAATGCGGTGCCATGTCCCGCTGAAGGAATCCCCCCCACACACCGCCAGAGGAGCTCAGTCCCTAGGCAACACGGAGCCCCGGGGCCAGAGGCTGGAGCGCTTCCGGCGGCTCAGGGTGGTCCGTTCCCCACAGGTGGAGGGGAACTGAGCCTGCGCAGCCTGGCCCCTGAGCACATGGCTGCCTCAAGAGGCAAGTCAGTGGGACTCCTGTAAGAAGAAAGGCTGCAACAGGAGGTAGGACTCCTCAGGAGGAAGGCCTGTAAGGAAGAGCAGCGGAGGCCTGGGTGGGGCTTGGGGGCGCTGGCAGGAGAGGCCTGCCGCATCAGCTGGCCCCTGCTGGAAACGGGGCTTCCGTCTCTCTCGGGGCCTTGTAGGCTTGACCTTGCTCTGCAACTGAACCTTTTTACTACGGAACATGGATTCCTGCTTAGCTGGATTTCTTGGACTGCCCCTTTTCTGCAGGTCCACCTTGATTGCGCTTCAGCCCCACTTTAGCTCTCCCTCCTGCCAGGTAAAACAGTTCCCTGCATATTGACTTGCTTTCGGACCACCCCTTCGTTGACCTTAATGACTGAACAGCACAACCTGTCCATTGCAGGAAGCCAAGGGCTCCCGCGCACAAGAGCTGCTCCCCCTCCCCAGCTCAGCTGTGGGGTCCTGCACTGCCACGGCTGCTGGGTGGTTGCCAGAGACAAGCCCGGGCAGCGGCAGCCCGTCAAATGCAAGCACGGCGGCGTGACTGCGCCCCGCTCTGCCTCTCCTGGCAATGGAAGCAGCCCTGCTTGCGAGCGTTCCGGCACAGCCCTGATCCGCTGTCTCCTCGAGCAGCAGCAAGCGACTCCAACGAGGCCAGTGTCAGCTGAGAGCAAAGTCCGCCCACAGGATCGCCGAAGTCACCAATACGCCTGCCCCGGGCAATGCCCACCCTGGATGGCGGGCAGCTGAAGCCACTGGGAAGCCCCCTTTCCGTGGGGGCGGGTCTCTTGGCCCACCCACGTGCACAAGCCATCCAGCGAGGGTTCTGCACATGCGGAGCCGGACCAGATTGGAACCCCGAGCTCCACACAGCGAACGGTCTGGCCTCACCGGAGGGCAGGCAGCCCATCCCCTGCCAGGCAGTTCTCTTTCGGATGCACTGCCCATCTAGCCCCTTCAGCCCCACACGGCACTGCAGAGAACAACATCTGAAACAAATGAGCACCCCATATGCACTGCACAAATTGAAGGACTCGGAATAAGCCATTCAGGTTATCTGGGGCAACCCAAGTTCAGGCTGGACAGCAGGAAAAGCTTCCTCACTGTCAGAGCAGCACGACAGCGGGACCAGCTGCCTGGAGAGGTGGTGGCTCTCCCAAGCTGGAGAGCCTGGGCAGCCGTCTGAGTGGGGTGGTGTGACTGGGTGTCCTGCACCGGCAGGAGGTTGGACCCAATGGCCTTCATGGCCCCTTCCAGCGCTACAATTCTATGATTCCATGATTCTGTGAAACAATTTTGGTGTAAATGCCAACCCCAAAGCCTTCATGAATTGCTGACAGAGTGGGAAATGGCCCACATCCTTAGGCCAGCCTTCCCAACCTGGTGATCTCCAACTCTGTTGGACTAGGACTCCCATCATTCCCAGCCACACAGCCCTGGCCGTTGGATGTGCAGCGAGTTGCTACTGGAGCCGACTGGTGCAGGGGGCGGGGGGGGGGGGTCCTCTGGGCAGAACACCCTTCCCAGCACCTTGCTCTGAGCTCGCATCTTGAATTCCGCTTGCGCGCCTCGTTGTGCCCTTTCAGCACGATGGATCCCTGCTGTGGCTACAAGGCTGCTTCTCTGGGAAAGCGTGTCTCCAATGATGCCACACTGCGCCCTCCTGCTTGTTCTAAATCATCTGACTGTCGGCCTGCCACGTTGGCATTGCCTGGCCATCTCCAGAAAGTATCAGACTAGAGCCACCTGAGGTACCTGGCCATTTCTTCACCATTATTTGGCAGAGCTATTTTCATCTTGATGTCTTTGTTGACTTGCCCAGTGAGTGTATTTTCTTAGCAGAACTGCCACCTGGGCTGTTTGGAAAACCAGTCGGTCTTAAGCGTGCGCGCACATGCCATTGCACGCCCCACATACATCTGAATGACATGGGGGAGTGTTTGAGCTACATATTTCCCTTCATTTGTTTTGGGTCCCTCAATCCAACCAGCATCTGTGGCTCCCACTGTCCCCCGGACCATTGTCCCCAATAATGGTACTGCTGTAACCCTCTCACCACTGTCCTTTCCTCTTACATTTTCACAAAGAATGCTGGGGCTGGTAGTTCTTGAAAGAGCACAACACAAAGAAAAGTTCACATCTCAATCTCAAGCTATTAGTTTAAGTGTTCTGACTATCTTCTCCCATTCCTAAAGAAGCACAGCAGTTTCTTTATTTGCATATATATGCTGTCCATATCTAAACAGATTCCGGAGCAATGAATAGCTTAAAAAAGATAAAAAAGAATAAAGCAAAATGTGAAAACCCAATTTTTAAATTATTATTTATATCCATCTCCAGTTTTGCCTGGAAAATGCAAGTTCATTGAGAGACTTCGCAGCAGTAAAAATGAAACAAAGCAAAAACAAAAAATAGCCCCCGTTTAGCATGTCATATTAGCCCGAGTACTGTGGAACGCTGGTCCTTTTCTTATGCTGGATTTGGACTGGGCCACAGAGCCCCCAAGTGCAGGTTCAGGTTAAGTCAGCCTCACGCTCTGGCGCAGCCGCAGCCCTCTCGCCCCAGGGACGGCCCAACCCCATCACCCTTCCCCACCTGTTCTCATCCGTGTTCTCCACCACGCTTCCGTTCCGGTGCCGCTCCCACTGAGTCAGACTGGGGCACTGTCAGGAAGTCCAACACGGTGGTTTGGCGGGAGTCTGCCAGGATGGCCACGCTTCTTCTGTCGGGATCCCCAGAGTCCTGCTTTCAATTCCACATGCCCAGTTTCTGGAGAGCTGTCCAGCCCAAGTCCAGTTTAAAGAGAAAGCCCTACCAGAGAGCGGAGCAGAGGCCCTGGAGTGGCCCCTCAGTGGCGAACACCTGAATGCCAGCCTGAGCAGACATGCAGAAGGCTCGGCCACAGGCTTCTCCCAAAGGCGAGATGCACGGTATTCGATTTGAATTATAGCTATTATTTCTAAATTCGCACCTGCACATGTAAAAGAGCACATGCAAATGTTATGCAAATTGAGGTCCTCTTTTGTCCTCTTTTTTAAAGAAATTGAATAAATAAATATTTTTGGTGACACTTAGGCCACTCTATTCTTTTTCCAACTATGCCATTGGCAGCGACAACAAGAAAATAAACGAGGAGCGTAAGCGTCAGGCTTGCTCCTTTTTTGCTGCAGCAGGTGACATGTTCAGAATTAAAGGGTTAAAAGTAGGGCAGGACAAAAAGGAGGAGAGCTAGGCTGAAGGAGACCGCCAAGTTCAGGGCTCACTCATATTGGAAGGCAATGAAGTGGCACAATGCAGAGAAAGTTCAGAAGTGGGGGGGCGGTCTAAAAGGAACCTTGGCTCCCTGAGCTTTGCTCCATTGGAGCACGTCCTGCCTTCCTCTGCAGGGGAGAACAGGTCTCTGCCCACCTCCGTGTGACACCCCCTCACACACCTGTATGTCGCCAACAGGTCCCCTCGGAGTCTCCTCTTCTCCAGGCTGAAGAGACCCCGTTCCCTCAGTCTCGTCTCTGCATCTGGTTCTGGGCACCACGGGCCATTTAAGAAAGATGTAGTCAAAATGGGAAAAGGTCAGAACAGGGCAGAAAGGATGATCCTGGAATCCTGGAAGCGCTGGAAGGGGCCTATGAGGCCATCGAGTCCAAGTCCCTACTCAATGCAAGATCCAGAGAGTGGAAACAAAGCCCAGTCAGAACAGACTGAAAGAATTGGGCATGTTTGGCCTTGAGAAGAGAAAACTGAGAAGGTACACAATACTTTCCCTGAAAGTACTTGAAAGGCTGCCACACGCAAGAGGGCTGGGATCTCTAGTCATTCATCCCAGAGTGCAGGACTTGGAATAACGGGCTCGAGTGGCAGGAAGCCAGCTTTGGGCTGAACATCTGGAATAATTTCCTGACTGGCACAGCAAAACAGCAGTGGAGCTCATGACCGAGGGAGGTGGTGGGCTCTCCCACACTGGAGGCATCCAAGGTGCAACTGAGACGGGTGGTCCAGCTGGGAGTCCTGCACTGAGCAGGGGGTTGGATCTGACGGCCTTCTGGCCCCTCCCAACTCTGCTATTCTATGGCTATATGATTCTAAGATTGTATGGAGCAATCCCAAAGCATTTCATTGCCCCTGTACTGATAAAATAGCCCTCCCCAAATATTTTCTGTCTGCAAAACAGATGGCAAACAGAGCAGAGATTTTAAATGCTCCTCAGTCACACATCAAAAGCATTGCTTGGTGACGGGAATCATTCTCTGTCCTCCCTAGCAAATGTCATAGAATCAGAAAGCTGGAGGGGACCTCAATGATCATCCGGTTCAGCCCCAGCCAATGGTGGAAATCTACTTCCTGCAGCATCCCTAACAGGTGTCTGGCTGTTGCTGAAGCCCTTCTAAAGGAGAGCCTGCTGTCCACTCAGTCCATCTTTCATCAGCCGGGACCAAGGCCATCGAGTCCAACCCGCTGCTGCCGCAAGGCACCAAGCCACACCATTCCCCTCAGGTGGCTGCCCAGTTTCTTTCTGAATGTCTCCAGTGTGAGAGAGCCCCCCAGCTCTCCAGGCAGCTGGTGCCACTGCCATACTGAAATTTGCTCTGTTATGAGTCTGGCATCCTCTGAGACCCACATGTCCCACTGGCTGGATCCCCTTGGGATGTTGTTGATTTGCTTTAGCTTTGACTGCTTCCCTCGGGCTCGGGGTGAGCAGCATGTGTTTAACAACACACCAGAGTGCACACAGGTAGAACTGAAAGAGGTAGCTGATGAGGACCCAGGCAGCTGAGAGGCTGCATTGCAGGATGGGAAAGCCTCGACTTCTTCTAGGCTTGCCTCATGATGCACTTTTGGGCTGGCTGGAATCTGAGAGATGCACGAGAGAGTCATCTCAGTTCGTTTATGACCAGAATTTGCCTGCTTGCACCTCCTGATTCCAAATGCAAATGCGGTCTGTGGTCAGAACTCATGGATCCCTGAACTTACAGAGCTGTTCATGGAGGAACAATGGCTCCATTAGAAAAATCTGCATGAAGCAATGAAGAGCTTTTAAAGGTTTGTAAGCACAAAATTGAATTGATAGAAGGTGATTGTGTACTTCTGAAGGCACAACTAAGCCCACAAAAAGGAAAAAGCTCACAATCTGGTTCAGACACATCAGCCCAAGCTTCCCAACCAAGCGCAGAGAGGCTGGGCTGGCTGGTTTCCTCATTCCGGCATCTCCGCCTCCCGCATTCGGCACAGTTGCACTTATGCCACACCTGATTACCAAAAGGTGAGGCCAGCTGGGAAAATCCTTCGCAAGGCTAAGGCTGATTACGAGCTGAGACTTGCGAAGCATGCCAAGAGCAACAGAGAGGGCTTCTACCTTCATGAAGAGGAAGGGGAAGAGGAAGGGGAGACAGGTGGTGAGGCCATTTAAAAGGGAGGGAGGGGACCTGGTAACTGATGCAAGGGAACAGGCACAGATGCTACATGCTTATGTTGCTTCTGTGTTCTCCCCAAAGCGGGCTGGGGGAGATCTACTTGTGGGGATAGATGAGGTTGGAGTTATGGGGACACAAATTGGAGTCACCTCCCTAGAAGTCGAGGAGCTCCTCAGGGCCCTAGATATTACAAAGGTGCCAGGCCCTGATGGGCTACACCCGAGGGTACTTCGGGAATTGACAGGGGTACTCTTTTGTGTTGGCCTTCATTTCTGAGACCTCATGGAAAATGGGAAAAGTTCCAGAGGACTGGAGTGGGGTGTTGGTGGTTCCAATCTTCAAAAAGGGTAGCAGAGGGGATATGGGGAATTATAGGCCAGCTAGCCTGACATCCATTCTGGGAAAGACCCATAATTGGGGAAGCTCTAGAAACCCTTGTAGGGAAGGGAGGTTGACAGCCACACAGCATGGATTCCATAAAAACAGATCCTGCCAGATGAATCTTCTGGAATTCTATGATAAGCTCTCGAGGTGGCTAGATGAAGGGGATGTGATGGATGTGGTTTACCTGGATTTCAGCAGGGCCTTTGACAAAGAGCCACATGATATCCTGGTCGAGAAATTGTTGAGCTTTGGAATAGATCGATGCACTGTCAGATTAGGTTGATGGATCACAAGCAGAGGGTGACTATCAGGGGGGAATCATCAGGATGGCAGCTGGTGATGAGTGGAGTCTCCAGGGCTTAGTTCTGGGACTGATTATGTTCAACCATTTTATCAATGGCCTGGAGGAGGGAATAACCAGTCTGCGGACTAAATTTGTGGATGCCACTAAAGTGGGGGCGGTGGCCACACCTGAGTAGTGGGTTGTCCAGAAAGACCTGGACAGGCTGTGGAAGCAGGCAGGGAACAACAGGAATAGGTGTCACAGGTACAGGATAGGGGGCAAGTGGCTGGAGAGCAGCCCTTGTGAAAGGGACCTCGGGGTACTTGCCGACAGCAGGCTGAACATGAGCCAGCCGTGTGAGCAGTGCTTAAGAAGGCACATGCCACCCTTGGATGTAGAGCCAAAAGCATGACTTCCAGATCTATGGAGGTGTTGATGACTCTGCGTGACTCTGGTGCCCTCACAACTGGAGTGCTGTGTCCAGTTCTGGGCTCCACTTTACAGGAGAAACATAGCTAGGAGAGATGTTGGTCCTTTTTTTCTTTTTCCTTGCCCCCACTTCTTTTTCTTTCTTTCCCTTTTCTTTTCTCTTTGTCTGGTTCTTATTGTTGTTCATTTGTGGTGACTGTTTTATTTGTTTTTAATTTAGGACGATTTTACCTGGGGAGCAGATGGGCGCCACCATTGGGGTGGTGATGGGCAGGGGTAGATATAGCGCTGGGGGTCTAACGAGTCAGCATAGGAGAAGGAGGGACCGATGGTTGATACCGGTCCCCTTTTCTGATTATTTCCCCAACCAGAAGGTTCCTGGCAGCAATATCAGCCGGCCCCCGGGCCTGACGGTGTTGCTGTTAAATGCCAGGTCGGTCCATAATAAAACATCCCTCATCCATGATTTGATCATGGATGAGGGGGCCGACCTGGCATGTATTACCGAGACCTGGGTGGGAGAAGGGGGAGATGTCTCCCTCATGCAATTATGCCCACCCAGTTATCTCGTGCAACATCGGCCATGCCCAGGGGAGAAGGGAGGGGGAACCAGTCTGGTTCACCGATACAGTATTTCCCTTGCAAGGCTTCCTGTCCCTTCAAGACCAGGTCTTGAGTGTTTGTACCTGGTGTTGGGCGACCGAGACAGATTAGGGACTCTGCTGGTGTACCGTGCACCCTCCTGCCCAGCAGACTCCCTGCCTGAGCAGACAGAGATCGTCTCGGACCTGGTGTTGAGGACCCCTAGGATGTTGGTCCTGGGGGACTTCAATATCCCTGCCAAGGCGGATCTGTCTGGGGCGGCTCAGGACTTCATGGCTTCCATGACAGTCATGGGGCTGTCTCAACATGTCACCAGCCCAACGCATGAAAGAGGGAACACGCTTGACCTGGTTTTCTCGATGGGATGGGAAGAGGGTGGCCTGGAAGTGAGAAACTTGATCTTAACTTCTCTGTCATGGTCAGACCACTTTCTTGTGAGGTTTGAGCTGGGTCTGATCTCTCCCTCCTGAAGGGTGGGGGCCCTATTAGGATGGTCCACCCCCGGAGCCGGATGGATCCAGATGGATTCCTGAGGGCTGTGGGGGATTTTCTGGCAGATAAAGCTGGCACTCCTTTTGATGTCCTGGTTGACTCGTGGAATAGGGAGATGACCAGGGCAATCGACGCAATCGCTCCTAAGCATCCTCCCCCGCCTAGCAGAGCTCGCTCGGCACCACGGTATATGCCTGAGTTGCGGGTGATGAAGCAGGCTGGGAGACGACTAGAGCGCAGGTGTAGGAAATCTCGGGGCGAATCTAATCGAACACACTTGCGTGCACATTATCATGCCTATGCAGTGGCGGTGAGGGCAGTGAAGAGGCAGTTCTCCACTTCCAAGGCTTCCTCACAGTGCCCTCCATCGGAGCTTTTCCAAGTGGTGCAAGGCATGATACATTCTGGCCAGGAGAAGGAAACGGTCACACCTTTGGCAGCCCACTGTGATCACTTTGCCCAGCACTTTAGGGAAAAAGTCACTCAGATTCGCCATGATCTGGACTCCACAGTTGATTTGAATCCAGTACGGGAGGTGTCCAGAGCGCCGTCTGGTCCATCATTATTGGATGAGTTTCAGTTATTGAGGCCTGATGATGTGGACAAGGTGCTTGGAATGGTACACCCCACCACCTGTCTCTTGGACCCTTGCCCCTCTTGGCTACTTAAAGAAGCCAGTTACAGGATTGGTCCCTGGGTCCAGGAGGTTGGCAATGCCTCACTGAGGGAGGGCTGGGTCCCTACCTCCTTGAAGGAGGAGGTGATCCGGCCTATCCTGAAGAAGGCATTTCTGGACCCACAGGTGGCT